AAAAAAAAAAAGAAAAGAAAATTGACATTTGCAATTGTAAACACAGCGAACAACTTTTAATTGCTTATTTTTTGTATACTTCTGTTTTTTTTGAGGGAAGAGGAACAGAGGAAGCTTTCTGAGACTGAAGAAACGACAACGACAAAAAAATTGCTCAAATTGCCTTGTTGAGTGCCAACAAAACTGCATAAGAAACTGGTCTCATCGAGTGTCCTTTCTTTTCGCTTCTTCTTCACGGTTACAATCGTTTTTCAGAAATACCTTCTTTTTTTTTTTCAGTCAGATACCCTCACAGCCAACGCGAATAATTCTGTTTTGATTCTTCTTCCTGTCATTTAACGCATATGCTATGCGGTGTACTTCAGCACACAAATCATTGTGCTGTTCCTGGTGTTTTTTTTTTTGAACTTTTTAACACATTCACAGGAAAATAGTTTGATAGTTGTGTAGTAACTATAAAAGAAAACAATTTCAGTGCTTATTTAGCACGTCTACTATTTGGCCTGTTTGGCTTTCTAAGGTTTTATGGTTTCGTAGTCTTTTTATTCAAATAATAACAACAGTATTGATGATAACAAAAACGAGTTTCAATTTTTTGGCATCGTAGGATAAACCATCACATAGTTCTATTCTTCTTATTCCATGTTTTTAGTGGATAAATATACTGTTGCTCAGGTAACAAGATTCATAGTTTATAGATGGATGGTAAGCGTAAAAAAAGGTTTTTGAAGTGTGGAACAGCAAAAGACAACTAGAAATGCTAATAAATACTGATAAATAACCTTTGCTAGAAACTGCTTTTTGAAGCCTATGTGAATTGTTAAAATTGATAAACAATAAGTTGAAATTATTGCTATAGTTACATCAGCAGATGTCAAGATAAAAAGAAACGAACTGTAGGTTGTAATGAGGCATCTACAATTTACAGTTTTAAGGCAAAAATGGCTTAATCAACTGAAAGACATTTTGTACGTATAACCACTGCTTAGAGAACTTGATGAATAACTTTGTAAAAGAAATCAAAAATAACAGAAGTTTTCTTTAGCAAAATCTGGTGGCTGAAGTCAATTAATTGTCACTATTTGGTTTCAATAAGAAAAAAAATTTTTTTATTTAGTTAATTTTTCATCTTTTCATACTTCTAAAATTTGACGTCGAGTTCACAGAAATTAAATTTCTGGAGAATACCAAAACAGTATACAAATCTTTATGTTTATTTTAAAAGCAGTAAATGTATTCAACAAAAACGCCGCTAAACTATGCTTTTATGATGCTTTCACCTCAAAATTTATTCCTCAAATTTTCAAAATTTATTTGCACTATCAGTTAAAAACTGCAAGATTTCATAGTCAAAAATTACTAATTTAAACAGCTGTTTTATAGAAGAAAAATATGTTTTGTTATGCAGAATAGTACTCGTTTGGAAGAGTGCATTCATCTGTCCATTCAGAAATATTAATCTGAGAATACAAATGTTTTGTGCAGAAATGACAAAGTTTAGATGAGTAATAATTTAATTCTATTACAATTTTTGAGAATTTGTCTTTTTCTTTAACATGCTAAAATAAACTAGATAATTTTGAATTGAAGAAAAGAGATTAATGAGCAGTGAAATGTAAGTAAAAGTTGGTTGCTGAAGACAGGAAAATAAAGTATTTCTTTTATCTGTGTATAACTCGAAATTTTTGAAAAAATACCAGTTATTAATTGAATAATTCTTTTCATCTAAAGCAAAAATTGTCTACTTTAACTATAAAAATTAGGGCAAATTATTTTGCAAAGTACAATTTTTCAAGTTTTTGTTGTACTTTTTTTCTTAATTCTAATTTTAAGAATAAATTTATCGCCTAAAAAGAACTTCTTAAACAGAACTAACCAGAAACGTAAATGATGATTACTTACCAAATAGCTGTGTGCTATTTGTGACTCAGTTGTATTTGTTATTTTTAACAAACCTATCTGTTTCTTACGTAAACTGTAGTAAACCAATCCGTAAAATTCTTGACCCAAATTAAATAGACGTATTACGTGCTGAATCTGTTTACGAGTTGACTTATTTGTATTTAAAGCAAGTAAAGTCGTTGATCAGCTGCTAAGCCTGCGCCTTATACTGCTTTTGTGCTTTTGCAAGTGATAATTTTCAAGAAATTTGGTAAAGTTAGTCAAGTATCCTACAGTTTTTTTATTTTAACGCGACGCTAAATTAATTTGAAAATATTTTTGCTGTGAAATATTTTCTGACCCTTCTTTAACAACTGCAATAAAACTGTTTTGAATAGTTGTGATGGTAACTTTTTGTATGCTGTGCAAAAATACTGGAACTTTAGGTTGCATGTCAAACAGTTAGATGTTTAATATTTATTTCGTCGCAATTTCTAACTATGTGGTTCTCAGCTGAAAAAAACTGTAGTATTGTGAAATACGTTTCAGCACAATGCTGTCTTTCATATATGTTGTTCTCCTAATTGTAATCGTTGATGTTCAACTGCTAGACGCTGAAGCACACACGTTCATTTCGGGAGTTGTTAATGGGGTTAGTAGTGAAACAGTTTTAGCAACAATATCAGTGATTATTTATCCCAGTTTTTAGTACTTAATAGAATTGCCGATCAGACAGCACTAACTGTACTCATATCTGTAGATTAATCAGAAGCAATTTCTTTACAATTATCTGATATTAGTCTTTGTGCTTTTCAAATAGTTCATAAAAAAGCAAAAGAAAGAAACAGCTAATAATTGAAGTTAAATGTAGTTTACTGACAATTGATTAAATGTTTTTTGGTTACAATTAATTTTACGTGGCAGGTGACATCAATGTTCAGGAACTTTACGAAGATGTTTTGGTCAATGAAGATAGTCAAAAAAACTCTGAAAATGGTCAACGGGTAAGACGTCAGCATCATTTTTGCAACAAAGCAAAACGTTCGATTCCTAGAGGTTTGTTGTTGTATGATATGCTGTTTACACACTGATCAGCAGTGATGCTGTCGTCGTAATTGTAGTAACTGTATTGAACACTTTCAGTTTTACTGTAAGTACTGTAAAAGAGCAATAATTGGTATTAGTGCAGAAAAACAAGTAATTTTGAGTAGCAGGAATGAGTGCAATAGTAGCGTTGATAGTAGACAGTAGAAGTAAGTAGAAGTTGAAAGTTATCGGGATGACAATGACAGAAAGTAAAAAGTTTTCTTTTGATCTTGCTTTAACTGTTGCAGTTGAAGGGACCGCTGAACTTCGGTCAAATCGAGTACCACGTTACAATTTTCCAAGTCAAGCAGAAAGTTCAATATTTCTGATGATTTTTTGTCAGCCAGCTGAACCGAAAAAGCCACAATGCTACAAGAATGCAGATGGTCGTAACAAATATTTTTCGCTTGTTGGAAAATTTAAAAAAGAACTTTTTATTTTGCAGAGACTTTAGTATTTTATGTATATCAACTTTTTTTTTTTTTTTTGCGCACGTTCAAAAAAAAAAAAAAAAAAAAAAAAAAAAAAAAAAAACAAGGAGAAAGAAGAGGACAAACTTGACTGTTCGTTTGTCAAGTTGGTATTTGCAAAATAAATGCTAATTAAGTATTAGTTATCAGGTTTTACGTGTTGTAACAAAGATCTGGAAGGTGCTTTATATGATATCTACAGTCGAGTAAACGATACAGGCAGAGTGCGGGGTTGTAACACACAATATTTGGCTAATTCAATGCAGATAAGTCTATTTTATTTCAAGCTTTTTTACTACTTTTTATTTATACAGTAAAAATTTGGTTTAAAAAAGTAGTCGCTTGTTTATCGAATTACGTTGGTGTTTATCATCACCAAAAAATATGGTAATAAAAACTGACTTTTTTTAGAGTTATGTGGAGAAACAGTTTAATGCATCGTTTGAAATTATTGCTGGGACTTCAGGTTTTGCATCAAAAATTCATTTTCATCGCGACTTTTTGTGCAAAATCAAAAGAGAAGGAAGGTAAAAAAAATTTTT